ATTTCAAATAAAATAAGTAACAATCAAAAGAATAAGAACTAAATTTGATAGAAAAAAAATTTCAATTACAAAATAATAAGAAAAAAGCAAATAATAATTATAAAAATAAGGACTAAAGTTAATATAAAAATTAAATTCTAAGAGATGAAATTAAAAAATAAATATTCAAAACAAAATATATATAGCAATCAAAAGTTTGAGGATCAAATTTGATATAATCAGCAAATAATATAATATTTTTAAATTTTTCACAATTTCCGGAAAGTATTTTCTGCTTAAAATAAAAAGAAAACACTTTCCTGAAAATCAAATTAATTTTTTTTTACTGAAAATTATTTTCTATTAACCAACTTTTATAATGGTAAACAAACACAAAAAAATTTAGAAAATGATTTCTCAAAAACTACTTTCCGAGAAATAATTACAGATATATCCATATATTGGTAATTTTGTATATATCCTATATAAGTATGAATTATTTTTTAAAATAATATTAAAAAAATTTCTACCTTAATTTAGTGCATTAAAAAAATATATTTTTAAAAAGCATCAATTCAAAGTTCGGATTTAAATTTTTTTAAAAAGAACATCCTTTATTGATCACCGAATGAATCCCGTTAAATTGAAATAACCGTACGTGAAAAACAAATTCATATAAATAATCAATTTGATTAGACTCTTACATTATCTATTTAACAGCACGACTGCACAAGACTCCTTGTGCAATTCACCTCTTATTTCAAGTGCAGTTTAGGTTTTACATGTGAATTCTTGAGAAAAAAAACAAAGAGAAGAAGCCTAAGCAAGATTGCTTCTACTGATAATAGTTCTTAGATTACTTGTGCCATTGAAGAACTTGGGCAACAGGGGTGTGTACAGATAGGTTTTGACCATGTTTTACAGGGGTGATGGATCATGATACATGAGATCATGTCAGCCGGGGGGCGATGGATCATGATACATGAGATCATGTCAGCCAGGCCGTAATGATAAAAAGCTCATCTGTACATATCATTGATTTGCAGATTCCGATCATGTCAATAACCAAAAGAACAATACTCCTTGTGCAATTCACCTCTTATTTTCTATGTGTAGTTGAGGTTTTCCTTGTGAATTCTTGAGAAAAAAACAGAGAGAGAAGCCTACGCAAGATTGCTTCTACTGATAATAGTTCTTGGATTACTTGCTCCATTGAAGAACTTGGGCAACAGGGGTTTGTACAGATAGGTTTTGACCATGTTTTACAGGGGGGATGGATCATGATACATGAGATCATGTCAGCCTGGCCGTCATGATAAAAAGCTCATCTGTACATATCATTGATTTGCAGATTTCGATCATGTCAATAACCAAAAAAGCAACAAGTCCAAAACTTCAACCAGAAAGAAAAGGAGAAACACATGAAAACCGAGCTTGAAAATGTGTGCAATGCCACAAATCATGGGAAGCCAAATGAGAGGTTTGACTCCATTTCAAACCATAATGCTAAGGGAAAATAGCATGTGCATGACCCTACATGACTGGCACTAAAAGTCTACTCCTTTTTTTTTTTTTTTTTGCCCCAGCTAATACACAAAATCATTAGGTCCAGCTTTCCTAACCATTCTAAGAAATGACCTAAACAGCAAGCTGTTTTTGATGAGTGGATTCATCTTCGTTGAAACAGCAATGGGTTTTTTGTAGTCTAGCCATATTTAGAGGAGGGTCTACTATCGGTAGAGGAGATTGAATCAACATCTCTCTTTGAAGGTAGGAGCAGTAAGCGTGGAACATGGTGGGTGTCACGTTCAATTGGAAGCCTAAACCAAATAAAAAATCCACTTCAAGAAGATTCATCTCTGCTGTGCTGATTCCTCCAACTTTAGCATAGAAGGCATTATTGTAATATCTGACAGAAAAATACAGGAACATATATATTAGCAACATCAGTACAGTTCTGCATAGTTTCCAAGTGAAATGAATGACAGACAAACTAGCAGCCTACCACCATGATTCTTGCAGGAAAACAAAGTGGGTATTGCCAGTCGGTGAAAACAGCCGAGGCCCAAGTAGGGTAGAGCAGTTTAAATGGCCTAAAAAGGGAATAATGGAAAGAAAAGAAATGCTACTGTGCGGCAAATGCTGTGGCTTTAAACAAAATACAGAGCTTTGATTGAGCTGTCACTGACCCCTCCCTTCAATGATAGTGACACATGCTTACAATTTGCTACCATTTGATGGGATTACAGGCATGCTTAAGCAGACATAGACATTAACACCGCAAACTTAGGTGGTGGTGTAGTTTTACACATGGGTGTCTTTTTTTTCCATTGGCTGTGGCTGACTCAAATGGGATATGTTGCCCTTCCATATGCACCTAGTTTTTTGTAGTCAAGATTTTTTTTCCCTTGGTTGATTGAAGGGGGGGATTTCATCGAATTGACCCTCTAACTTCCTAGATCAAAATTTTGGCATGGTTTGGCTGGGCCACTTTCAAGCAATGGAAATATCCTATTGCTAATAAAATTATCAAAAAGCAAAGGGAGTCCAAGTTTCAGATCATAAATATATTTGGAGAGTAAATTCACCATAATATATGGTAGGAAAAAACCAATTATCTGTATAACGCAAGATTTCCATCACATAGAATTTCATTTAAAACAAAGAAAATGAAGAATTCCTTTTCCTTCCCAAACTTGGATAAGACTTGAACTTGAGAGGCCTAACCTACCCCCTAAGCTCTGGTACATTGCAGAGTTGAACTTGAATCCACTTATCAAGGTCAATCCCAAATCCAAGAACAACTATAAAATCCCAGAGATATTTTCACAAAGATAACTAGATAAATCATCATAATAAGCTTAAAAAGATGAGCCCAACAAGTGAAAATTGAAGATAACTTACATATCATCCATGAACTTGACAGAGACCAAGACACTTGTGATGAGCAATCTATGCACATTGAAAGAATTGAGAGGAAAACAGGATTGTCTCTGAGAAAACCGATCAAGATACACATAAGCAACAACAAAACAAGAGGGGCTACAATTTGCATACTTGAAGATTCTTTCAAGATAGTTTTGAATGGATATAGCAGGTCTAGAAAGGCCATGAAAGATTGAGACTTTCTGGGGGTATAATTGTTGGCTAAGATCATTAGACTCTGCTACCCTTTGAAGAAGAGAAGAGAGGAAAGTAATGACCTTAGGCATCACTGTGGTCTCTGCTAACTCTGCCATTCTTGTTTGGTTTACTTTGGTTTGTTGTGTGCTCGCTGTGTTTATAAGACAACTCCTGCCTTCCTCTTGCATAGCGTGTGTCAAACGATTTTGTTTACTATTTTTTCCGTTCCAAGCTTCCTATTTAAGACAGCAAGAGAGGGTGCCTAAGCTAAGCTGGCCAATGATACAATGACAGAGCTCAATTTACAGGAAACTCCCTGGCTTTGTAGTATTTTCTGATCACTTTTTTTCCCTTCAAAAGATTAAATCTTAGAAACCATATAGTGTTCTTAAATATATCTCTCTAATCTATTCAAAATTTAAAGACAATTATCTACAGTAAAATTAAAATATTTTGGAGAACTTTGCTCTCTCATTTGAAGCATATTATTTCAAGAAATAAATGTGTTTAATATTACGGTATATTTTTTTTTAATTTTGATATTAGTATATT